TTCCCTCCCCTCTCCCTTCCCCCACTCGTTCATTTTTTCTTTATAAAAGATTTGTTTATACTTGGAAGTCAGATTTACAGAGATACAGATAGAAACACCTTCTGTCCACTGATTCACTCCCCAAAAGGCTGCAATGGTCAGAGCTGAGCCCATCCGAACCCTGGAGTCAGAAGCCTCCTCTGAGTCTCCTACATGGGTGCAGTGGCCCAATGCTTTAGGTTGACCTTGCTGGCCTTCTCTGATTACAAGTGGGGAGCTGGATGGGAAATTGGCAGGCAAGATATAAGTCTGCATCTACATGGGTTCCCAGCGCATGCAAAGCAAGAACTATAACCACGAGGCTAATGTACAGGGCCCGAAAGAGCTTACTTCTTTATTTTCTGGACCAATATCTTTTGTACCCTATAGATCCTAGTAGGCAAGAAATACTAAAAATATTTATTAAAGGCTAATGCAATACTTGCACAACTTCCCCTGCATTCATTATCATTATCACCACTATTGTCCTTCACAGTTTATAGGAATTTAAACATACCAAGCAACTAAATATTATTAGCAAAATTAATGCAATAATTACAATAGATGTTTAGTTATTATTGTAATATTGATTAACGCAAAGCTCACAACCTTCATTGTACACACTGGTCACCTGGACAGCATGTTGAAACGCTATGGATTAGTAGGACTAAGTGGAGGCTAATAATTTAAACAAAATTGCATGATGCAAATTTTGCTAGTTTGGCCTATGCTTCAGTATCAAGGAAATAACGTTATTGAAGGATTTACTATACAATGAATGATATTGTATACATTACATTGTAAGGAATATCAGGAAGAAAGGTCAGGACATGTACTAAATATTTATTTCACTATCTTTATTAAAATCTATTTCTCTATTCTGTGAAGTTATTTAACTATTAATTTATAAAATGTTCACTACTAAATAATACTTGGCCAAAGATATTTTTTTAAAGTCCTCTTAGCGAAAAGGATAAAAATTAGTTTTCTTCAAAATTACTAAAAATATTACAGCCTCAGATTGCAAAGAAAACAGTGTAATTTTTTGTGCATAAATATCTCAATTCATCTTTTAAAACTATGTATTTGGATAAACTATACATTCATGTCTAGTGCACTTTATCCTCACAGATGCTGTGACACTGAAACTCTATACTTTGCTTTAGTGGAAAAACTCAATTTCTATTCCTGGAGCTAGCAGCATTCCATTAGACATTTGATGCCCATGAGATTTTTATAGAATCTAGGTTATAAGATTCAGTCTCAATCCACATAGCTTTGAATGAGAATCTGTGTTACTTTTCCCAAAGGTATTCTGCGTTATGCTTTTTTGAAAAATGGTTTTGACTTTTTTAAAAGTCAAAGATAAAATGGTTTACACAGTAATTACCATTGACTTCAGAACTTTCATGTGTCCACAAAAGATTTGAGGAAGTGTGCTCAATAGCGACTTCTTCCACCCTGACTCCAACAAAAGGCCATATGAACGTTTTGTTTTTAAAAATATATTGGAATATGTATTTCTTTATTGATTACATTGCATTATGTGACACAGTTTTATAGGCACTGGGATTCCCCCCTCCCATCCCCAAAACCCGCCCCACCCCATGGTGGATTCTTCCACCTTGATGCATTACCACAGTTCAAATTCAGTTGAGATTCTTTCCTTGCAAGCATCTACAAAGCGTAAAGGCCATCATCTTATTGTCCAGATAAGTTCAGCAGTTTCTTGTGGAGACCGTCTCTGGTCTGAAGGTAGAGCCGACAGAGTATCATCCCGATCAATTAAAAGCCCCAACATGACATCAGTAACAATTTATAACATAATGGAATTAGTTGACATGGTATTGTGTAACCAGCATGTTAAAAGAAAGAGAGAGAGGGAAAAAAAAGAATGCAAGTTCTAAACTGCTAAATACTAAAATTAAAACAGACATGAGACAGCTGAATAGTAATCTATAGCCATTTTAAGGTGTATAGAACCCGGTTGTATACAAACTGATAATTGTAATGTCAATGTAGAACATGTATTAATTAGAGTTCTTTCTTTTAGCTTTTTTAATATTAAGAGAAAATATTCCATGTATTTCATAGATATGAGTCTAAGAAGATAGCCATACTTCTTTCCTTCCCTCAATCCCCCTTTCATTCCTTCTTTTTCTTTATTTTTTTCAATAATATAATTTCAATTTACTTTATAATGCCAGGTTTGATGTACCACTAACTATAATGGTCAACAAGTGAAAAATAGATAGAACACTGTTTTATAAGATGAGAGATTCAAGCAATAATCAAACCCAAAGATGTTATTTTTATTAACTACCACATAAGAGAGAAAACATAAGTATGTCTTATATTTTTGCCTGGAACAGTTTACTAAGCACAGTCATCTCCAAATACTGTGATATAATGTGAAAAATATTTACTATTAAAACTTCATTATGAATACAAGTTTTCTTATTTTTTTAAATGATCAGTGAATAAATACAATCATATTTAAATTGTTCATATATGGCTCAAAACAAAGACTATGGGTAATCCCAATACAGTAAAAGTAGTTTTTAGTCATCCTTATAAAGCTATGCATTTGATTATGTACTCTCTGAAAACATGTGGAATACATAATCAATTTAGATAATTTATTGAAAATGAACTCACTTAAATTATTTTAAATGATGGAGGAAAGTTAATGGCAGGTGTTTGCTATTTTAAATAATGACATGTATTCTAATATAATTTTAATTAAACTTTGCATTTAACACAAAGAAACAAGGATTATATATATGTGTGTATATATATATATATTCAATTTTCTGTATTTCCTGCCAAAGTGATACTTTTATTATGAAATTGTTTTAACTCAGGACCAATTAACCTCTGATACTTTGTAAATGAAATATTTAAAATGTTTATTTTTCTAGGGCCACACTAGATCACATGTTCTCGTATTTTTTTCCTTTATTTTGAGTCTTTCTTCCACTGAAATAGAGGCATTTTCTTGAGAAATGATGCTGCAGAAGCATCATTTTCTTTGTTCTCTAGGTTGGTTATTAAAAAGATGAATCATCACTTATTCCTTTTTGCCTGACTGGCTTTATGATAAGTCCATGGTAAATTTTCAGTAGCAAGTCACTTTACATATCACATTGCATTTCTTACATTACCTACAGTATTTGTCTCCATGACAAACTTCCAGTGCTTAAGAAATGCTCAGAATATGTAGCATATATTGGTTAAAGAATCATTACTTTTGCATGCTATATGAATTTTTACAATTGCTTATTGACGACTTATTAATGCATTGGTTCATCCCACTATTAGTTTTTACATTTTCACAGTTTCCATCAGAAAGTGCATGAAATTGAACCCAAGCTGCCAAGATTTAGCCACTTATTTCATACAGCTTTTGCTTAAGATGAGGGTGTTAGCAGATTCTTAAACATCTTTTTCTCCCTTGTTTTTGTGTTGTCCTCCCCATTATGCTTATTTTTGTACCATGGAGATGGTAAAAATAAAAGTCAGAAACAAAACAAATTCAGCATGCAGACAGAAAGGTTGGTTTTCATTTATTCTTGCTTGATGTTTGTTATTCTCTGTAATTGGTGACTATGTGATGCTCCATGTCTATGCTGTTTTGTGCTAAAATGGATTTAATGTATCAGACTTTGGGAAGTTGAGATCATTGGTAGTGTATTTGAAAACTGGGTACTCAATGCTTTCATTTTACGCCTCCATCATTATGGCTAACCTGACTAGGGACTTATGTCAATTCATTAATAGTTGACTGAAATTAAAATTTTCAATTGCCAGGGATGGAAATATTCTATAATTCAGATTTTAATAATCAATTTTGTGTTAATAATCATTATTTATGGAATGAAATTTTATTTTAAGATTTAAAAGTAGTATTTTAATGACTAATTAATAAGCAATGTGAATGTCTGTCTGAAGTCAAATGAGATTATATACAACCCTGTAAAAGTATTTTTTCTGGTTACCACACATCATGGTTTAGGTGGAATAAACACTACCCCTACCATAATGTGTAGTGAGAGCAATTAGGATATTTAAAAATCAGCAAATAAAGTAATACTTCACATTTCTATTCTTAAAATTCATCAATATGATAGCATGTTTTATTCAAATATTAATTGTGTCTTTTAAAGGCCATTCTTACTGCAACGTATTTTTCTAATATCAGCTGTCTTTATTCTGTGTTAAATATAATCACTGCTTTGAGACCTCCTCATCCTTGTTAATATGAATAGTACCTGCTCATCTGATTGGCTCAGATTAAACTATAACTTGGCAACGTTATTGGATTCCTCAAACCTATCAGTAAAACATAATTATTAGGTAATTAGATTATATTAGCATATGAATATAATTTCAAAGAATAGTCTTGTACTTTGTTCATAAGGTTGACAGAGCTTGTTGATACTACTACATTGGTGCACATTTACAAAATTCAGTAAGTGCAAACTTTTTCCTTATGAAATATTACTAATTCAGGTGTAATTAGGAGAGGATGTCAAGTTTCAGGGTCTTGTTTAGCATTTGCTTTTGTTTGGAGCATAATAAAAGTTATGGTATATAATTATTACTCATGCTATTCTTTCTGCATAAGTAATTGATGAAGGCAGAATGGGTATACTACAAAGGTCAATCCTCATTTCACAATCTGGTGTATGCCATGTTTTAAATATCTATCGATTATGTCATAGTTATACCTACATATATACCCAATAGTGAGGTGTTAGTACAAGTTACTTGACAAAAAATTTTGGAAAGCTTATTTTGAGTGAAAATAGTAAGATGAACAACTTCATGAAAAAATATCCGTGCCTTATATAAAGCAAGCATGTTAAGCCTTCAGTGGAGCTAGATGTCTTGGGTAATATGATGAGTGCTATGAATTTCAGACTGATGCATCATTATGGAACTGTTTTACAATCCTTGTCTACCTCTTTCTTATTTTCCAGTCCTCCACAAGCAACCAAGGGAAGTATGTCTCTGTTTGTTAGAACTGGGACGAATCGCTGCCAGGTAGGTTGACAGCTGCAGTTTATCAAAGCCACACAGAAGCATGTGATCTCGTCATCGTTGATGTTTGGCCTGGATGCTGAGGAGCTGCTTATGCAAAATGATCATTCCGATGGCAGTGTTTGATTAGAGAGAGACAGCATTGGCCTGCTACGGGCACGTGTTTTGTGCTCTTTTCTGAGAATAGGACAAAGTAACTGCGGTGGACCGTACTAAATGAGCAGATGAAGGGAGCTTGCTTAGCCCCTGTTATCCTATGTGTTATTTTGAAAAACCATAAGACAAGGCTTCTGATGTTCTTTGAAGTTCAGAGAAGGAGGAATAAAAATATAAATATTTAAAGAGGTAAAGAGGTTTTTGTCCCAAATAAAAATGTAGGATTGATTTTTAAATGTGATCCAGAACTGGCTGTAACTTTAGAGTTGAGATCGGATGAATGAGTAATGTAAAGTGACAGCTAGCACTAGATCTATGTTCTCAGGTAGAGAATTTTTTTTATAAAATAAAGATTGATTTATTTTTTATTGGAAAGTAAGATTTTTACAGAGAGTAGGAGAGACAAAGAGAAAGATACTCTGTCCCTGACTCACTCCCCAAGTGACCATAAATGGTCTGAGCTGAGCTGATCTGAAGTCAGGAACCAGGGATCCCAGGCGGGTCCAGGGTTCCAAGGCTTTGGGTCATCCTCTCCTGCCTTCCCAGGCCACAGCTGGATGGGAAGTGGAGTAGCCAGGACACAAACCAGCAAATTCAAGGCAAGGATATAACCACTACGCTATTGTGGCAGCTCCATCAAGTAGAAAATTTGTCCAGAAGATCAAAGAAAAGGAAATAGAATTGTACACATGAACACATTTCAGCATTGCTAAAAAACTTCCTGCCAGTGAGCAGATTTTTCTATCCAACAGAAAACAAAAAAGAGATTGCTCCAAGGTATATAAATCATGTAGTAAAAATGACCTGATTGAATTGAATGCCTTGCATTAATTTTATTATGTCACAATAATTGGATGTGATACAGACTGCTTTAATTTTTTAAAATTTAAGTTAATTGTCCCTGAATCTCACTTAACACTTTGAGGTCACACCATTCCCAAATAACTGTAGGAGACCTTTGCTGCTTGAACAATCTAACCATCTTGCTTCTGAAAGTTAGGATATACATGCCAACACCCAGGAGCTGTTCTTCCTCTAGAATAAACATGAGGCTGTTACTTTCCTCTCTTTTAATTTATAGTTTCTGCATGCTTTCTAGATTTTATTTGTTGTTGATTTTTTTATTACATGAATATTCTGATTAAATATCCCATGAAAATAAGCGTGTTATAGCTATGTCATCAAAGTAAAACAAGCTATTCAGTTGCAATAGGCCTTTGGGAAAACTTTTTCTTCCAACTCTGGATTTGGCATAAATTGACCCTTGTTTAGGATGTAAAACGAAGCATCTTGGCTGATTAAAGAGAATCAATATGGTCTTGTTAATTTCCATGTAAAGCAGCACAGGAAGTACCCACCTCCTCTCCAAGTGTGAATCTCGGTTGCTCTATTTCTTACCCCATTATATAGCCTTGTGAATGGATACAAAACATTAATTGTTTTAAAACTGCCTTATAAAGTTATTAACAGATAAAAGGCCTATGCAAGGAATAATATCACCTTTGCATTACATTATTTAGTGTGTAACTTTGACCTTTTATTTCTCTCCACATAAATAGTGCAGAGTTGTGTGAATCTTCAACAAAGAGGAAATTATACTTGTTGGGCAAACCATGCTTGTTGATGTTCAATAGCTGAATACCAATCGGATAGACTGAAATTATTAAGTATAAAAATTTGTTGAAGATTCTCTCGTATTATATTCACAATTTTGAGTTTTTATTTACATAAAATTTTAACTGTGCTTTTAAAACAGAACCCAGTAAACCCAAATCTCCTGAAGTTCACACTATGTTGAAGCATATTAATTAAAATGGAAAAAAGAAAAAAAATTCCCTCCAATCTACTTGACTCTAATATCTTCTTAAGATATATTAAACCTATATCTAAATGCTTAAATTTTTTTCTCCCTCCTGTTTCTACTCTTTTATGGAGGAACATGAAAATTATGTTAAAACAACTTTGCCAAAACTGTGTTTTAGGGGATGGTTCTCAAGAATTACGTTAACTTACACACAGAATGAGGTGATCTTGACCAGAAACTCAAAACAATCTTATAAATTTTGTGCTTTTCTCACTGTCAGTGATGCTGTCTTGTAGTTTGTTCTAAATGCTTTTTTCTTTAGTTTGCACAAATGTCATCTAACTAGCATTAGCAACACTTTGGAAATGATTCTGAGTATCTCTGCCTCGCCGCTCTGTGTTCTGTCTGGGGACACTCGCTGAGGCTCTTTGAGGCCTGTTGGCTTCTCTGAGCTCTGAGGTGGGAGGAATGAGTACACTGCATTTTGTTCTCTTGTGTAAGTGTTCATTTTATTTTCAACTAACTAGAGTTATTATCACAGGAGGGTAAAGTCCCTCCTTTAATAATTCAAAAGAATGTAAGTTACTGAATGTAAAAAGTTTATTTTGTGAAAACTAAAACACTCAACCAAAGCAAGTCAGGTAGACCTCAGATACTTTCAATGACAGTGCTTTCATGTTCATTCCTGAAAAAAGAAAACAGTTACTATGGCTTTCACATTGGTGTAGACTGACGTAAGATGGTCTTTCTGGCAATACTAAAACAAAAATGATATTTTGAGCCCATGCATAAGCAATAATCAACATCAAAATGGTGTGTTGATTTTTAGTAATTCATTGATTTACAAAAATTATGTTGACTCAAAATATATTTACTTTGTGACAGTTTAATCTGTAGTTTCAACCCATGGCCTAGTGAAGAAAAGGTTATTTAGCTGAAATGTATGCCTAAAGAATAAGTAATTAGCTGAAATGCTAAGAATCTTACATGCTTTTCTGTGGTTTGAATCTTTTCCTATTACAAATTCTATCTTTAGTTCTAAAATAGAACATAAATGGAGCAAAGTATACTTTGTAACCATCTGTAAACTCCATTATGTGCATTAAAAGGGAGGATTTCTCTCTATAAATGTTGTCACTTGGAACATAGTAAAACAAACTCCAGACACTATTTGTCTGGAAGTTGTACGATTCTAAATAGTTTGAGTAATTTTTTAGGATTCAATTCAATTTGAGGACTCAATTATTTCATCCAGTTCAATGTTGTGGCAGCACCAGAAGACTGAGAAGTCCTTTTCTAGAATCTCATCATGAAGTTTTGTTGTAAGAGCTGTGTTTTGCTGTTTTAAATGAGAGGAAAAAGGTTACTCTTTGTGTGTATTCACACTGCTGTAATATCATTGCGGGAATTCAGATATAAGGATTTTATTTCCATGGATGCAGCTCTCTCGGTATGTTTAATTTGAACCTTTATTCAGTTTGAAAACCGTTACCCCTTCTAAAAATCTAGAATCTTGTAGCTAGAAGATTGGATTCCAGTATAAATTTGTGAAAAGCTTGCAACAAAACGGAAACAAGAAGCAGTATAGAGAACACAAAAAGACCCTTTTGGATAAGTTGGCTTGCAGGTGCAGGCTCTCAACCCAAGGGGAGTTTCATGATTTACAGCCTGCTGACGTCTCCAGTCAGACAGGAAGGCAATGAGCTGTGTTTAAGCACATTTCAGGACCAACTGATTGTGCAGCTTGAAGTGTTCAAAAGTCAGTGTAAGCAGAGATTTGGGGCCTACTGTTGGTTTCCAAGGGAAAATGGCATAGCCAATTTTCAGCCTTCTCATATAAAGAAAAATCTATAGGGCAAGGTTTTGAATGTGTAATTTTGTTTTTAATTTCATTCAAACTTAGCCTACTTTGTTCTTATTGGACATTAAGTCAGGCTTTTTTTCTTAAGATTTATTCATTTTTTTTTTATTGCTAAGTCAGATATACAGAGAGGAGGAGAGACAAAGAGGAAGATCTTCCATCTGATGATTCATTCCCTCAAGTGACCACAATGGGCTGAGCTGTGCTGATTTGAGCCAGGAGCCTGGAGCTTCAGCTGGGTCTCCCACACAGGTGCAGGGTCCCAAGGCTTTGGGCTGTCCTTGACTATATTCCCATGTCACAAGCCAGGAGCTAGACTGGAAGTGGGGCTGCTAGGATTAGAACTGGCACCTATATGGGATCCTGGCGCATTCAAGGCAAGGACTTTAGCTGCTAGGTTACCACGCTGGGCCCATAGGCTTGTTGTTTTAACATTCTTATTATTATTATTTCACTTTGTATAAAAAGGCTGAAATTATTCAACCTGTTCCTTAAAGTGGCATGGATCAATTGAAATTCACAAATGTGGCCATGTTTTCCAGTTGATTTACTCTATATTTTCAAACATGACATTTCAACTTATGATTGATTTTGAATTAACTGTAGTTGCTACTATGTTAAATTTATTTAACCTCACTACTAAATTTACTTTTTTCTACCTTAAGAACATTTAGCATACCAGATTCTATACTATGACAGAGCTAAGAATCCAAATACGTCTAAGAAGATTAAAAACAGCTCTTGTTGCAGTTAATCTGGAAAATCAGGATCAAGACTGAGTTTAGACACAAATTGGCACCCACGTGGTATCCCGGGACTTGCAAGAGAAAGATTAGCCAAGTGAGCCATTGAGCTGGGTCCTGGTGGAATATTTTTGTGGATTAACATTAGCAGTTCTTACACTGAGATAGGTATTTGGGTATTATTAATCAAAAGGAAATTATTTTTCTATCTAGGCTTGACAACATTGTTATATGAGAATAAAAATTTTGTCATCTTTAAATATTAGCTATTAGGTACCTAAATATGTGCTGTGCTGTGCTGTGCTGTATACCCAAAGCTGGGAGTTTTATGAATCATGCAAAATAGTGGCTTTTGCTAAGGCAGAATCTGGACACTAGCATGTTTCCATTGTCTTATTAACTGATTAAAACCCAGGAAAAATTAACAAGTGATTGCTCATTGTTTTAGTTTATGATTACATAGTGTATTTCAAGGAAAGCACTATGCAGATTGCAAACTTTCCTGGGGTGGTAATACTTGATCTAAATTATATCTGTTAAAGCTGTGTTTACTGGCTGCTCACGGAGCTTGTTAACTCTCAAAGGACATATAGTTTCCCTTCCTGCTTTCTGCAGTTTGGAAACAACAACCACCACACACACACACAAAAAACCTCAGATGAAATGTCAGTTCCAACCTTTATAACCTAAGGTTCAGGTGGACAGAAATGTTCATCGGCTCAAGAGTTGAGCGAATTAAGCATCAATTATTTTAAAACAAAGAGACTCAAGGTGGTGATCCCCGTGGAGTGCACCTGGGGAGCAGATTCCAGCATACAAGAAAAAGTATGCTGACTTTATCCTTATATGTAAAAACTGATAATTCTTTATCCTATTGGGGTTGAATGAGTAATGAAACAGAGAAGTCTGGAATTAAAGCTATTAAACAACTTCTATGAGGATAAAACATCAAGAATGGAGAAGTTGCTTCCCTGTAGAAATGTAATACAAATGTCAGCTAAATTAAAAGATAATTAAAATAGGACAAAAATGCAAAGTTTTGCATGTGGTGATTGTGTAGTGCAGAATTCAATCAAAAGCAATAATAATATTGTTAACATATTCATACTCTGTCTATAGGATTATTTACTTTGATTACATGGCTTATAACCAATTTTTAAATATCTAATTGACTTTCTCCTTTCCTTTCTAACATACGATTAGCTGATTTAGATGTCAATGAAAAAAAAAATGTCATAAAAGCAGTAACTTGCATTTGAGTCCTTATCTTGCTAGCAGCTATTTACAAGCCCTTTCTGGTTATGTATTGTTATCAGTTAAATTGAAGGTATGGAATTGATGATGTCCCAAATCCTTCACAAATAAATTCTAAATTATCTTTGGCCTCCTCACCAGATGTAGTTGATAGATATCTAGGGTACCAGACCTATTTTAAATTGAGCTTAAGAAAAATGTGATCATAGGACATAGAATGCTAAAAACAACTGCAAATCACCAGTATTTCTATTTGAACTTGTATGGCAAGTGTAATTTACAACACAAAATTCTTAGTATGCTTTTTGCTTAGAATTATTTCTGTATCTCCCCTGTTCACCTGTTTCCCCAGGAACACTCTGTCTACACTCTGCTCTCACTATTAAGAGCACAATCTTTGATACTGTGTAACTGTAGTATATATTGTTTGGGTCCCCATGAAATGTACAATTAATAGTGAATTTCCTCTACTGAATCATTTTAAAATGTTTGTTGTTCATAATGCTCTTTGTAAACTGGACTCTACTTCTGAGATCCTTTGATTTTATTTCTGTAATATATTTGCTTACAAATAGAACTTTGTTGATAGCACTAGTATTACTAAAGCTGGTAAAGGTCAAAGTTGGACTAACTTTGATATGATTGTTCCAGTTATTGAACAATACACTGAGTATTTGTATAGTTTTATAATATATATGTTATCTATGTTTTCATAATGTGTGCACATATATAAGCACAACAGATGTGTATTTTATCCCTGCTTCAAAGGTTGCTCATTCAAGAATTTGCCATTTAAATGTCAGAAAACTTGGTGATCTTTATTAAAGTAAATGATTTGATCCTCTAGTGTTCAAAATCAAAGGAATAAATAGTTTTTATTATCATTGTATTTTATGCGTGTATAGTAATCCGATATCCTTTAAAAGGTATGGTGTGGAGCCTCCCGGCTTGATAAAATTGGAAAAAGAGATTGAGCAAGAAGAAACACTTTCTGCCCCTTCTCCTTCACCTTCGCCTTTGTCAAAGTCATCTGGCAAAAAGAGTACAGGAAACCTACTGGATGATGCAGTAAGTAGAATTGGCAACTCGTCATCAGTCATTGTTTCTATGAGGCATATTCCACCAGTATCACAAGGTTAACCTTTAATATTTCAATTTCCTTGAAATTCATCTAACACTGCTATGAGAGAGCTTGTAGTTCTACAATTTATTTTGTAATTCTTTTTTTTTTTTTTAATTTTGTTTTCTGACACAGTTTCATAGGCTCTGGGAGTCCCCCTCCCCTCTGCATGGCCTCCCCCCATGGTGGGTTCCTCCACATTGTTGCAGTAGTACAGATCATAACCAGCCATGATTCCTTCATTGCAAGCATGTGCCATGCACAGAGTCCAGCATCTTACTGTCCAGATAAATTCAACAGTTTCCTTCGGAGGCCATCCCTGCTCTGAAAGTAGAGCTGGCAAAGTTATTTCAATAAAACATCACTTAATGCTTTTCCACATTGTCCCTGATTGTCACTTATTTTTGCTGAACAGTATCTATAACTTCAGGAAAATGTATCATTTCTCTGAACACTGTATTTGAGATACTTATGCCTCATTGTTATGGCTTCATGATTCTAGTTTTACAGACAAGAAGCCTGAGGCCTGAGATTTTAAGGGTTCTCTAGGGAAGGAAAACAAGTGTACGACAGAAAAGAGAACTCTCATTTTCTAAGCATCTGTGATTCTCAGGGTCTATGACTGTTTTTTGAGTGCCCTCATGTTTGAAATTCCAATTTCCTATTCAGGAAATAAAACCTCAGAAGTTGATTTATTTTCAAAGGGACGGGGGCATAAGAAGTTTAGATTCCAACATAGTTTTATATGACTTTCTGAAGGCCCTCTACTGAGCAAAGCGTTTGAGTCACAGATCGGGGCAGTTAGGAAATATATTAGTGCCTTCACCATCATAGGGAAGTAATAGTGTAGCAGCATACAGGGCAGATTAAAATGCTTGGGTTACCAGTACTATCTGCCAGATAGTTCTTAGTTATGATCAACAGTGGGTTTGATTATATGTATGCTTATCCCCCAATTTGTGTATATGTTGAACACAGATGTGACAGCAAAGTCATTAAAGGACAAAAACTATGAGGGAATGATTGTTGTTTATGTAAGATTTGCATTTATGGAGTTGTAGTTGCAACAGAATATGATAGAAAATGGTAGCATTATCAATAATGGTAATATTACTAGATCGAGATCTGATACACATGCATAACAGATGATGCAAAAACCAATACCAATAGCGACACCAGCTATGGACAATGTACTCCTGGGCCTTGGTTGGGATGTCTTTAGTGTCCTAGCTGGAAACAGCAGGAGCGATGGCCAATTTTGAGTAGAAGCTACAGAAAAAAAGAGAGAGAGAGAGATTTTTTCTTTTGTCCATTTCTCCATCTGATACCATAAAATATATAGCAGATTTTTACCTAACAACTTGTGTATGAATAGTGGATAATGATCCCTTATTTGTGAGAGCTATCTCTGCTCTTGCCATCATTTTTTTCTAAGTAAACTTGAGGGAAAGATGCTATCTTAGTCTTTGTATTTTTCTGAGACTCCTCCAAATGTTCTCAGTTCTTTTTCTGTAAGCTGTTGTCTCCAATTGTAGTCTTCATCGTCTTTGAGTCAATGTACCAGTTGAGTGAAGAGTAAGTAGGTGGCCAGTTATCATCTTTAAGGCCAGTGAGCAAATTCATGAGTCAGATGAATTCATTTAGTCATGAAATCATGACATTTCATCCTTGCATTTGACGCTGTCGACCGATTCATTCTTCAAATTTAACTCCATACATCTTCCTGTCACAAGAGTGATCAAACTAGATGCAACTCAGTTTTTATTAGATTATAAGTCTTACCCATGAGATTTAGAGTGAATCCCAAACTCATTGTTGTGTTGTATTGCCCCTTCAAGCCCTGCCCTACAGTGTGTTTCTCAGACTAATCCCTGCGTCTTTCTTTTCTCTCCATGCTTTCACATCTGTTTTTAGATCTTTTAATTACTTTTCCACATTTTAAATTTCAGGGTGTATTAGCCACTAAATAAACCTTCTCTCAGCATGTCTTTTCTCACATGAAAGTGACAGATTCGTCTTGCATATACCTCAGTGTCCATATACATTTAATGAGGTAGTTGCCTAGCTTACCCTAATTAATTACCCTCAGAGACAACAACCATATTTTATAAAACTCCACACAAATTCACGTTGGATAAATTAAGAAGCTTTTTAGCCATAAAAAAAAGTCCTTCGTGCTTGCTCTACGTATGTGGATTGGCTACCTATTCTGAAAATGTGTGACTTTTTCCAATTATACTGTAACTGCAGTGGGAAATGATACTGCTATTGGAAGCCATTTATGTTAATCAAGGGGAAGCTGTACCACTCAGGGGCAGAGAGAGCACTAAGTCAATAGGATGGCGACTAAGGTCAGTCCAGGTCACTGGCGGGTAAGATGGTGGCTAAGGACAGAGCCCTGGGCATGAACCAGGGCCAGAGTCCCGTAGCTCCAAGGAAAGACTGATGGACCTGGGCCATCTCGCTCACCTACTCCTGGCCTATGGGAGGTGGTTTCCCCAGTCATTTTTCTAGTAATTGGCTCCTAATTTCTCCCCCCGCCCTAGAATTCCTGAAATTCCTAGCCTGAGGCTATCCCTTACCCTATATAAGAAGCTGTATTTCCCCAATAAATCAGAACTGCTTAGACAGAACCCCTGTCTGTCTTTCGCAGGCTGAGAGACTGGGTAGCGGACAGCAGGCTCATCCGCTCTGGCAATGGGCTAGAATTAACTTCCTTTATTCACCTGCTTACATCCCATCTAGTCATCCTTCTTGCTTAAAGAGAAGGGAAGGGAAAAGAGTAGAGGAGAAGTGAGGAAAAAAGTGAGGAGAGCAGAGGAGACATGATGGAACAAGTCAGAAAGAGATTTAGGAGATGATTTACCAACACCCCAACTCAGAAAAAGAGAGAGATAAAAGATATTTCTAGGGCCTGGTTTGGTGGCCTCGTGGCTAAAGTCCTCGCCTTGGGCGTGCCGGGATCCCATATGGACGCCTGTTCTAATCCTGGTGGCCCTGCTTCCCATCCAGCTCCCTGCTTGTGGCGGGGGAGTGGGAGGGGAGAAGCAGTCAGGGACGGCCCAGGGCCTTTGGACCCTGCACCCTCATAGGAGACATGGAGGAAGTTCTTGGCTCCTGGCTCCGGATCAGCACAGCACAGGCCGTTGCGCTCCCTTGGAGAGTGAATCATTGGACGGAAGATATTTCACTCTGTCTCTCCTCCTCTCTGTATATATCTGACTTTGTAATAAAAGTAACTAAATTTTCAAAAAAAGATATTTCTAAAACTATTGATTCCAAGTTCTATTCGTTCCACTGGAACTATAGTGCATTTCAGAAAACCATTCAACCCTTGTTATAGTTTACTAGAGTTTGGGCACATAATCATTTGTTTATTTTAGGGGTTTTACTTGAATGTAGGAAATGTGCAAAATAGGCATTTCTGTGCTGCTGCCAGCTAAAATACTATATTCTGAAGATCTTTAAAGTGGTATTTTTGAAGGAATGTCTAATCAAATACTAATACCATGAGATGCTCCCTGGGGTAAAGAATTCCATAGTTAGGTTAATTTAAGAAACACAATTTACTGTAGGCTCCATTAGAGTTTGGCAATGTACTTTGGCTTTCCTCAGACTCTAGTGAGTTCCATAATCAGATCTTGTTTAGCCTGGAGTGTTCCAAACTTACTTGACCACAGGAATCTCTGCAACCCCCATCACTCTACAATGGGGAAAACAGCACTGAATTATTTGAAATCTCTTTAAGTTACACATTTTCATTGACATGTTTTATTTCAGGGACAGTAGAGCACTAATGGTCTTAATTAGAATTTCACAGAACTGTTATAGAAGGAGATAATCCCTATGAAAACTTTATCACATATGAAGCAGACACTGAAATATCATAGCGGGAAACTGACTCTGATGTACTGCAGTGTGTGTCATAGAATAGGGACATAAAACAGAGATTGAAGGGTTACTGTGTTTAGTTCATAATGTTGATTTTTTTGACAACCACTAAAGAATAAAAGAAAGAGAAGGAAAATAAGCAAAAGCAGCAAGGAAATAAAGAGTGGAAGAAAAAGAAAAAAAAAAAGAGCAAAATAAGCAGACGTGTGCTACAATATCATATTCAGGGGAACCATTTCAGCATGACTGCCAATTTTGCAGCCTTCAATGCCGCCTCACATTTCCCCATGTGGTACTTTGGGAATACTGGAGAAAGAAAAGGTGACCTTTCATGTGGATAATACAGTGTGCATTCTTTAATCAAGATATCATGAAAGAAGCACAGTGGAGTCCATTCAGATTAATTTATTCTCCCGATGTCCTGATAGTGATTCAGCTGAGATAAGACACCGGGGCAGGGTTGAGTTCTCTTCCTTGCATTCCCTCTTGCTGAGCTAGTTCCCACACAAAGAGCCGAATACAGTTCTAAGAAGCCAATCTGCCTTTCTTCTTCTCCTCCAGCAACTTCCTCAGTCTGGGGATGAGAGATAGTCTAATTCTGTAATCAGGCTCCTCTTGAAATCCCATTTCAGCAGAAAACTGGCCAAATTCCTAGCCCCAAACAGAACACCTGCCAAACTGACTTATCCCAAAGAAATGTAAGAAGCACAGATGTCATCAGTGACTGTTTACTTAACAATCTACTTCCTCTGCTCAGAGTCTGGCCTTTTCTCCTGCTTTTCTGCTTTTGCCTCTCACACAGCTAAGAAAAGCTCTTGATTTTTTTTTTTTTTTTTTTTTTTTTTTTTTTTTTTGTTAATCAAGTCCGTTTTTCTGAGCTAGGAAGGCATTAGAGAAGGGCAGGCCATTTGAGAGGATGTTTCTTGCACTTCACTGGATATAAACAGTTTCTATGTTTTGTCTACAGACACTAAAAGATGGAAGTGCTTTCCGTATAGACTTGTGATTGTCATTTCTTAGTGGAGGAATCATTTGAACACCCATTTGCTGTTTGCTT